CAGGGTGAGCGCCCCCTGCTGGCCCCACTAACACCTCTTCCAGCAGCAACCTTAGTTTTTCCCAGGAGGTCTCTCATCCAGGTACTGACCAGGCTCACACCTGCTGAGCTTTAGTGGGCTGCCAGTTGGGAGTTGCAGGGTGATATGACTGCTGGCTGTAGCCATGATGCAACGACGGAAGCAATGAAGTCAGGCTGAGTCAACATATCTGAGATGTTGTATGAGCCCCTGCGCCTGTCCTGTGCTGATGCAACAGGAGTTTGCCTGGTCTGGAGCATGGACCCTCTGCTCCTGGTCTGCTCCTACAGAAGCGGGTCTGTGCATTACCTTGATGCTGAGCTGTCTGTGCGTAGTGGGTCCAGACTCACTGCTCTTCAGCTGCTCTGGGAGATGGATGCCCTTGGTCTTGAAGCTGACATTGGTCACATTGTCAGGCTTCGGTTTCTTTTTCCCAACCTTAAGTTTGACTTTCTGAAAATCATCCTGCCTCTTCCTCTTCTTGGTCATGTTGAGAAACTGGGGGAGAGAAAGACGAGAAACCAACCATTAAATGCCAGCTTACTGCTGAAACCTGCCATACGGATGTTCCCTTTAAATTGCCCATCTGCACTTGTGCTATGGGACCCATAAATTTAAAATCAAGAGTCCAAAATGACAGGACACGTTTCCAAAAAGTAAGAACAGATAGGCAATAGGTTAGCAGATACTTCACGGGCTGCTGTACCGGTGTTTTCAATCACAATTGTCAGCTTACCACTCATAACCTATCCAACCTTCAACAAAAGAAATAAAATACCAAGGCAAAGCAACATGCATGGAACGCTTAGAAATGCCTTAATTACTTTAGGCCATAGTTGAACCGGCAATAAAAACGTTTCAGTAAAATTAACAAAAGTATTTGGTGCGTTTGCAGTTACGATTCAATAAATCAAATTAAATCTGTTTGGCTTAAAACACCGAAAACTCTAAAGCAAATCGGGTAACTATGATTTTCCACAGTAAAAGTTTAAAAACTTAATAGCTCATTTTAAAATCGCAGGACTATGTCCCTAATGCATAATTCCCACAAAGGAAGAAAAACAAATTCCAAAGAATTGTTTTCTGGGTCTCTCGACATCCTACAAGAAGAAAGCTAATAGAGCCTGAATAAACTAGGCAGTCCCGGAAAACAAACTGTAGTACCGGCTCAGAGGGTACAGTTCTTTAATCATATAAACTCACGAATTATATCTCCCGCTTGCAGATAACGCTTAGGTCTGTCCAGTTCAATGTTTCCACTTTTCACAATTCATGTGGCAACAACTCTGCCCTTCCATTGATTACAGAGCTGCTGAGCACGCCATGCTACTGCCTGAACGAAGGACTACCGTACGCGAAGGTACAATATATTCTTTACATTTGGATTTTGCATTTAAACAAGGGTTTTAGCATTTTACTGCAACTACTAAGTCACCACAACTCTACAGTAGCAATTAAACGTGTAAGCATACAGAGTTTAAAATGGGCACTAAATACAGACTAAGTTGGGTCTTTCGAAACAAATTACGTCATTTTAACGCGACGGGTTTTGCTGTTACCTGAAGCAGATTGCCTTGGACGATTTTTCGTGCATCTATTCACTAAACGTATGTTGTTAGGACTGGGATAAGAGGAAGTGAGAGTATGCTGTGAAATACGTGGACTTCGAGGCTGGCACGTATTTCATATGCTTCCAGGTATTTCGCTCTGTTAGTTGATCGTAACCCTTATCTCTTCATCTGAAATAATTTGGCAATCTACTCCCTTGAATACCTTATCTGAACGGCAGGAAATACGTAGGACATAATCGCAACCAAGAAATCCATCAATAATTTTTGTACAGTTGAGTACAATTATTTTATATTAACCTGGATTTATATTCCAATGACAGAAGGCACAACTCTTTTAGTAGAACTCTTCAAGTTATAAAAAAAATCAATGGCATGAATAAAACTGAAACAATCCAAGGGTACCTTCGGCATTTTGACAGCGTGTTTTGTCCTAAAGTCCTACAACATGCCAGTTGTCAACGCTAACTGAAATTGTGATTAATCCCGTTTCAGGAAATTATAGCAGATTGTATGAGTGAAAGTGTCGGATATTAACTGTCCATGCCAATGGAGTTTAAAAGTCTAACAATACTTAGTATAGAAGAATCATTACGTCTTACAAAAAGAAAATAAGAAAAAATGAACCATTAAAGAAATTTAAGACCACCTAAAGTACTACATGAATTTATCCATTTACTGCCTTACGTATTAGGTAAGCATATATAGCACATATATCATAATGATCGTCAGAAAAACTTTGCAGAAACTGGTGTTCAGAGAGTGACATTTCATGTAGTGAGTGAATGTGTATTTCGCAATTCAAGCATGAAGTATTTGGCATTTTGTTGAATTTTTACTAATTCCTTTTTCAATGCCATATATTTAAATACCACTGAAAAGTCTTTTGTGGGCAATACACCATCAAATATTTTGTATTTAACAGTGAATAATGAAAGCACTATAGAACTTGCATTAACCCTTTAAGTGGTTTGGTAGAACAAAACACCCCAGGAACTCCATGCTAGATCCCCACTTCTTCAGAGGGTGATTTCTTAAGCGCTTTGAGAAGCCACCTTTAAAGGCGCTATATAAAATAAAGTTTATAATTATTATATTATTATAAATAGCACTATAACAAACCTTCCTATTCCTTCTAAACAGACATCTTTACCTTGTTTACTAATGACACTGCAAACAAGACAAGGGGAAAGGCAAAACTTTTATTTATCAATACCTGTGCTGAAATAATCACTAACAAGAACTTAATGTTGACAAAAAATATTTACCAGCACAAAGTAGCATTTTACCAAGTCATAAAACAGACCACGAACAATTAGTTAAAAAACAATAAAAAAGAACAAAAGATGTAACAATAAATGTATTAAGAAAGAGAACAGTGGCAGCCAGTCTTCAGTCTCCCCTCATTTTCTGAGATTGAACTCCAGCAGGTCTTAGTGTTAATCTCCTGGATGAGCTGCTGACACACAGGGGAGTACGTGCCACGATCTTCATAGGCATTTGTGACCTAAAGAAGAAGAAAAAATTAAAAAGGGGTCATGACCAAACAGAACTTCTCTACTACCTCCAGAATGGCATCACAGCAAATGCTGAGATACACCCTAAGGTTTCAGCCCAAAGCCCTGAAACAAAAATATGGTTAGCCTTTTATTTTCATCTCAAGTGTTGCAGTACTATGCTTATTACATTTCTTCATTTGTTCTTGTGCGTTTCCATTTAAACTACACTATTCTGTCAAATACAAAGTTTCTTTAGAACAGAATCCGTGACCCGGTATGTGGGAAAACTAGCTCTATACTTATACAATCAGCTCCAACCAGAATCTGATTTTAAAATCTACACTCCACCTAAAACACCAACTGTACAGATATGGCCCTAAGTGAGATGAGGCAGTGAGTTTTTTTACATGCAGCATCCGTCCCTGTGCTTCATGAACTCGTTTATCCCTATGGAGGCTGCTGCTGGTACCTGTGTATCTGTCCATGCCAGCCACTCTTGAGGATGGATACTCTCCAGGACCCGAGGACTGCTTGCTGCTTGCCATCTGAGAAACGGAACAGAAGAACTTACTCTCTGTGGAATTCCGCTGAAGGTTCTGCAGAACCCATTCTCCGGTGAAACCAGTGCATACAGTTGCAAGAAAGTTTGTGAACCCTTTGGAATTGCCTGAATTTCTGCCTTACTCATAAAAACGTGGTCTGATCTTCAACTAAGTCACAATAATAGACAAACACAATCTGCTTAAACTAATAACACACAAACAATTGTACTCCTTGTCAGTACTGAACACATTGTTTAAACATTCACAGTCTAGGTTAGAAAAAGAATATGAACCTCTAGGCTAATGACTTCTCCAAAAGCTAATTGGAGTCAGGTGTTCCAATCAATGAGATGAGATTGGAGGTGTGGGTTGGATGTGCCCTGCCCTATAAAAAAGGCACACAAAGGTTGGGTACTGACAGTCTGCTCTTCTCAAGAAAGAGCTGTTCATGTGAACCATGCCCCGATCAAAAGAAATATCAGAAAAAAATAGTAGAGATACATAAAGTTGGAAAAGGCTACAAAAGCATTTCTAAAGGCCTGTGTGTTCATCAATCCACAGTAAGACAAATTGTCTACAAACGGAGGAAATTCATTACTGTTGCTACTCTCCCTAGGAGTGGGCGTCCTGCAAAAAAGACCACACAAAGAGCGCAGAGTGCAATGCTGAAGGAGGTGAAAAAGAACCCTAGGGCAACAGCAAAGGACCTGCTGATATCTCTTGAACTTGCCAAAGTCTCTGTTCATGTGTCCACTATAGGAAAAGCACTGAACAAAATTGGTGTTAATGGAAGGACACCACTGCTCTCCAAAAAGTACATTGCTGCACGTCTAAAATTTGCAAAAGACCACCTGGATGTTCCACAACGCTTCTGGGACAGTGTTCTGTGGACGGATGAGACAAAAGTTGAACTCTTTGGCAGAAACGCTTGGAGTGTTTGGAGGAATAAAAGCACTGCACACCAACACCAAAACCTCATCCCAACCGTGAAGCATGGTGGAGGGAGCATCATGGTTTGGGGCTGCTTTGCTGCCTCAGGGCCTGGACAGCTTATTATCATAGAGGGAACAACTAATTCAAAATTGTATCAAGACATTTTACAGGAGAATGTCAGGGTAGCTGTCTGTCACCTGAAGCTTAATAGAAGTTGGGTGATGCAACAAGACAATGACCCAAAACACAGGAGTAAATCAACAACAGAATGGCCAAGTCAGAATCCAGACCTCAACCCAATTGAGATGCTGTGGCATGACCTGAAGAGAGCTGTTCACGCAAGGAATCCCAGAAATATCAAAGAATTGAAACAGTTTTGTAAGTAAGAATGGCCTAAAATTCCTCCTACCCTAAGAGTGCAAGTCGCATCAGCAGCTACAGGAAATGTTTGGTGGAGGTTATTGCTGCTAAAGGAGGTTCTACCAGTTAATAAATACAAGGGCTCACATACTCTTTCCAGCCTGGATTGTGAATGTTTAAACGATGTGCTCAATATTGACAAGAAGTACAATTGTTTGTGTGTTATTAGTTAAAGCAGATAGCATTTGTCTATTATTGTGACTTAGTTGATGATCAGACGACATTTTTATGAGTAATTAATGCAGAAATCCAGGTAATTCCAAAGAGTTCACAAACTTTTTCTTGTCTCTGTATATGCCACATAGCATGTTATATATGCATGACATTTTATAAAATGTTGGTCATATATGATGTTTTGGCTTTGAAATAATTTTGCCTCAGAAATAACGGATTCCACAGAAGGCAAGTGGCTCAATCGATTTTCCCAGGGAGACCTATATCTACCACCTCCCTCTGCACTGGTTGGCTGGATTGCTCTCTCACCGCGGACATAGTCCTCAGCCTGTATTCCATCAGCACATCAGTCAGCTTCTGGGTCACTTTCAAGACGATCTGCGCATCAGATTCGGTTTCGATACGAAAGTTCTCCTGCAGAAAACAGGTTAAAACAATCAGCTAAAAAACACCCCATATTTAACATTCAGAGAAGTAGAAGCTCAGAAATAACTGCAAAGTAAAGTTCATTGAAACAGATACATAAGCTTTACGTGCTGGAAATGTTGGCAGGGAATTTGAAGAAGCATGGAAGTGATAAAGCATCTCAAGGGTGATGAAAATGATAGGATGGGATCCCAGGTTTTTTTTTTTTAAAGTGCTCTAATACAGTCCTACAACTGGTCTATCAGCCACAGAAAGGTTAATGGATATTATATTCAGGTATGCCAAACCCTTGTATGAAACAGATAAAATCAACCAAAATGAAATGCAAGGGCTTGTAGGACTAACACTAATACAAAGTATATAGCCATGGTGCTTGTGGAAAGGGATTCAGTGGAGTTCCATGATGACATGTGGTTGGATTACGAAACTCTATACAGGCGACCAAGCAAGAAGGGCATAAAGGCTTTCTTGGCTCTCACCTTAGATTGAGCTTATCCAGGCCTTAATACATATATATTTACACTTACAGGAGCAAACAATCAATACAGTAAGTTGACAACCAAAACAGAACCAGATAAGAAGTCATGCAGACTTGTCATGCAAACACGCTGGCTCATTTTCTCAACTCGTCTGAGCTTGTGCTACAAGTACTGCTCCCAGCAGCCTGGTCTGTGGAGAGATGGAGGCTGTGCAAGGTGAGCCACATTAGTGTCAGAAGTGGTTGGTGTTCATACAACCGTGTCCCTCTTCCCTCTGAGCCAGAAAAACTCCAAACCTCACGGTGGCTACAGAGGGTATTGAAGGAGAGTTTCAGATGATAGAGACTATATATAGACATCAACGTCTGGCCTCCAAACATACAGTTTTGAAGGAGCAAGAACGTAAAAAGTCTATGAAATTCAAGATCCATTTGAAAGCCTAGACTACCTGAAGCCGCTTGTTCATTATCATGGATTCTTTAATTCATGAATGATAATAATGATTCCACAGAACTCCCATCCCCTTGGACTCCATTCAAGACAGACTTCTTTTATTCTACAGTAAACTGGTGTAGTTGGGAGGATTACTCCCAAGACACAGAAATACATCAAATTTTCAACTGCATTCACTGCAGATAGTGCAGAGTCAGCTTAACTAGAATGTCAAACTTCAATTAGAAAGATTTTTAGCCAACAAAGTACCTCCAAACCTAAAAGCTTTTACAGTCCTCTGGAGCTACTACCACATGATAGCTACAGAATACATTTTCTGCAGCTTATATGCACTAGTTTACCCAAATCCCTGCTAAAGCTATATTTCTTCAAGTAGAAGAATGCTTGTGTCTGCTATCTTGTGTAGGCCTCACAGAACGACTGGGTACTTCTTTTGGAAAGTCACAGGTTCGTACCAGTTTAATTTGCAGCACCTCGATGGGAGTATAAATATTAGTAATAAACAAAAGCAAATAAAACATTTATATTAAAACGTTTAACCAATTTCCAAAGAGGCAAGAGATGTTTCCTCAGGTCTCTTGGAACTTTATTAACCTTCTCCATGATAAGAGTGGATACATACCAGACATTCAAAAAGAGTAGCTGGAATATTCTTCTCAGAGGCTCTTGAGTAGGGGCCTTCATTCTGACGTGAAGACACAAAATAAAATCAGGCAGAAGTTCGCTTGTCTTGAGCACCTTTACTCTTCTGATGTTCAGTTTTGTTTAGAATAATATTGACAACGTATCACCACTGTTCAAAGGTTCATCAATACAAAGTCAGTCTAGCTGTAATTAAGACAAATTACCCGCAAACATTCTTCAGATACAGTCCAAGCCAACATAACAGAACACATTCTCACAGTGTGTGGTCTTTCCTCCCCGGTATTTATTACCTGAGAAAAATGCATGCCCTCTGGTCTCCTGCCAGCAAAGCTCTCGAATTCCCTGCATTAAAGAGAGGACTCTGGGTCAGGAAGGTCAGACTCATAATGGATTTTAAAACAGGCATCTTCAATTGAACCCTTTTTTAAAAACTAAGGCAGTTTTAAAATCTGAGTTGTTAAAGAAGGCAATGCACTGTAAAGACAAGCAGCACATAACCTGAACACACAAACCACCGAAGCAGTGCACTTCAGCTCGTTACCTCCTCATGATGTTGGAGGGCCTGGCTTCATAATCGTTTCTCACTCTCTTGTCCAGCGGAGGGCCTCCTTCAGGACACCGCCCGCCGCTGGAGAAATCGTCACAGTAGCGCTGCTGGGGGCCAGCGCCGAGCTCCCGTGAAGGAAGATCGCTCTCATACATCCGTCCATCACCGGGGTACCCCCCAAGGGGCATGTCGCCCAGATGCCCCCTCATCGGAAAATCATCATTTCCCATTGGCATATCATTCGAATACATTCTCCCAGGAAAGTCAGGAAAGATTCCTTGAGGGTTTTCAGCAGGATACCCCTGGTCTGGAAAAGCAGGAGGGTATCTTTCCCCTGCCACAAAATAAGACGAGAACTGAGTGTGACCACAAGCACCCCGATTTACATGGGAGATCCCACGGCCAAGCTGTTTATACATCAGGACTTCAATCTGCTAAAAGATTTGTTCATTCTATGGTGCTATTTGACCTTTCCCTTTTTCTCTCGCTTGTTCCACAGGAACTCATCCATCTCCCAAAGTAGCACAAATAGTACAACAGGGACTGAGGAATTGCATATGGCATTACTTCCAGGAACAGCACAAGACCAAGCGAGTCCAAATACCTCACTGATTTTCACCCTGTCTACACTGCACAACTGGTCCCGAACACAGCACTTGAAAACGTCCTAATTCATCTGGCTTTTTAACTCACAACATCTAGTAGATCTCAAGTGTGACTAGAATGCAGCGATTCAACTGGTTCTATCTGCCAGTAGGAACCAGGGATCAAACCCCATTTTAAAAGGCGATAATTTAAAGGAGCTGGTTAAATTTAACCAGGTTTTGTCATGTCATTCCTTTGGGAGGAATCTTCTGCTGAACCTTAACCCGCTGTAAACCCATGCAAACTCCAAACAGAAGGGATCCAAGCTAAGAATCTTTAGCCAGGGCCATAGAGGGGTGAGGCCACAACCTAAACTGTGTGGTCCTGCAGCCATGTCACATTCAGTTAAGATTAAAGCACACCGTTAGCTCAAATATTTCAGAGACACATTTATGTTGATGCTTTGGACATCGGAATGTCCTTCAGATCCCACCATTCTCCAGGCGTTTCATTACAGCCACGTAAAGATGGATGCAGCTTTTATGACTTTCTGAAAAACCCAGGACCAGGTTTGAAAGCATTTCATTTTGAATTCTGAAGCTCTGCTGAAGGGCTTGATCTCTCACATTAATCAAAACCTTGATTTCAGCATTTCATTCTATGGTCTTCCTTGAAATAATGAACAATAAATTGAAGCAGAAGATATTTATCTCCTGGAGGCGCCCGTTACTAGCATTTGCAATGACTATGCAGAAATATGCCGATGAACAAAAGGTCAGTTTTGCAGCATTTCCACTTTTGATAAACCACACTTGGAACTGGTAAGACTAGTTTGGTTCTTGAATATGGTAATGTGGATGACAATGACATAAGGCACCTTTAAGAGTGTGGATAGAACTTAAATCTAGAGTATCCCATACACAAGACATGCCTGCAGAAAACACTGCACTCCTTTAAGAAGTTGATACACCAGTAGTGAACGAAGATAGACATTACACATCCTGATTCGTTTCTCCTTCATTTCTAATGAAATGAAAGTGCTGCCTGATCCCATGTTTGGTCTGTGCCTGTGGCCGAGCTACCTTGTGAGATGCCAACCCGCACAGTTTCAGCCCGGTTGCTGTTACAAACGTTTTCTGAAAACAAGTTACAGACCTTGATTTTGGCCTCCCAGTCTGGCTGACCTTGGCTTCACGGCAGAAACTGTACCAAAAACACATGATGGGAGGAAAAAGATCAAATTCGAGATGGGGGGGGTTGGGAATAAACACTTTTCAAATATCACCCCTTTACGCACTCACACTGGCATATTTAAGAATCATCAATAACAGTATTTTGCTCAGGAAATTAATTAGGTCAACAAAAGGTAACAATGTTTTTGTTCAGAGAAAATTAAGGTACTTTGTTTATTTCAATCACAACATTAGTATGAGTAAAGGGAGAATCTTTATTCAGAATTACTTAGTCTGTCAATTATGTTATGCAGTGACAATGTCTATTGCTCTGACTTGTTACTTTGGTTGCACAAATGGATTTATCCCAGTTTTTCTTCAACCTATCAACAACAAAAACAAGTGCAAAGAATACCAAAATACAGCTATTAGCAGCAATAATAATAGAAACTCACGCATTCCCTGGAAAGCTGCCACCTCACTTGGTTCCTTCATTAGGACCTGCAACACAAAAATTCCATTCAGCTGCCAACAACTTGCAAATTCAATCCTGAAATAAATTAAATGCAGAGTAATAAGTGCAGAGTAACCAATCCAATGAGGTGGCTTAAGAAGCACTTGTGCTCTCGGTATTCAAGGTGTTATGTAGTCATGGTCATTTGAATCAACAGAAGAGGAGATGTGCCGACATCTTTGCTTCATCATATTAGATAATGAAAAGTTGGATAAAAAAGTGAAATACACAATTGAATTCTATTAGTCAAGTAACTTTTGAACTACAACTGTGTTCCTCACAGGCCAAATTTAAGACTTGAAGCCTTTAAGAGAGATCCAGGTGGAGTGAGTTTGACCAATCAGGAGATGCTGCTTTGGAAAACAAGTAAAAAAATTCTACCAAGTCAGAAGAAAAATGTAAATTACTCCAGCTTTCGACAGCGTTTCAGATTTTCTCTCAGTACATGGCTACAGCCTGAAGGAAATACCTTGTTAATGACATTTCTGTCCCATTGGAAGTGACCTTTTAACACTCAGTGCTGTGGTTTTTATTGCTCAGCTGAGACGCACCTGGACACAGACCTGCATACATGTGTATGTGAGGCTCACATGGGGATCTCTTACATCTGTGCAGCAATCCATTGGCTCAGAGAGAGGAATAAATATTCTCTCTGGATATTTCTAGTTTTTAATAATAAGTACAAATAAATTCTAGGTACAACACAGAAAAATGCAGAGAGAACTGGAATGCTTACAGCACCCTCTCAGTCAGCATAGTGTTAAGAGTTTCATCTGAAAATGAAGCTAAATTTCACCCTTCACCTGAGGGATCACTGTTTATAATGCCAATCCCATTTTCTACTGCATTTAAACTACAAAACAAACCATTACAAAGGTATTTAAGAAATGAAAAGCATTATCCTGAATAATCACAAGTGACACATTCAACAACAGTGAACTGTGAGCTAATTCACAGGCTGACAAATGACTCCTGTTTAAAGGACTACAGTGCAGTGCCTTTATTTTAGAATCAAGGGAGCCAATGCACACCTAGTCCCACTTATGACTGAAAAACTCAGCACAGTGACTGGGACTTCAGCGGATTTTTATATTATTATAAAAGAGTGTCATTCCTTCTGATTGGAAACTAACCATGAGGCCAGAGGAGTTCACCCGATACAGACTGGCAGCCAGTACGACAACTGTGCTGTTTCTCTGTTATGAACGGGGTGTAGTCTTGTGCGCTCAAAGGAATTTTGTGTACCTTCTCAGAAACATTTTACAGTACAAAACCGAGCTTCATTTCCGACAACCCTGATTGCACTATCTGACCAGCAGGTGGCAACTGAGACCTTGATTTTCCCCCTTCCTTCAGCTTTCTCCACTTCGCCAGCAGATTCTTTAATGGTCTTGCGAACCATAGGATCTTCCACTGCTTTGTCTTCTTCAAACGGGACCATGTCAGGGTGCACCTTTTTCTGAAACAGAAAAAAAGTGAGAAATGGGATAATAAGGCTTTCTGCCATACAGTGCCATTCAAATACATCAAGATCTAGTCAAAAAGAAAATGGGTTAGGCCTGCAAAGGTGCAACAATCATAGTGAAGGCACAATTGACAAAGCTATGTTAAAAACTATAGACCATTCAGATACCAGCTGAACAAAAACACAGTACTCCTGACTGCAAGAAAAATAATACTTCATATTCTCTGAAACTCAAGGATCTTTGGCAGTTAAGATCAAAACTGGAATCAAACCCGTGCAGCATCAGAATAAGACCCACCCAGTTCCCAAAATGCTGTATGGGTCAAAACTCACATTGGACTCAGCTGACAACATACCTAATGCTACAAAAATCAAGATTCTTGAATGAAGACCTGGACATAATTCTATATTGCCAGAATTGTGTTTATACTATGTTTAGTTCACAAAAATACAATAATTCTATCTACATATTCTTCAGTTTGAAAACAGCCTTAAAAGAAGGTTATGTCATTGTTCTGTTTTACATTGAAAACAAGCTGCAATAAACATTATTTCAGAATGTGCATCCATCTAGGAAAGGATTTGTTCAAGTATCTAAAACTTGTGCCCATCTCTACTTAAACCTAACAAAACTTTGACATGAGTTGTTCTGGTGGAATGGAAAGAAAACAGTCATTTTTGCACAAGACTTTTCAAGGAGACCACTTACCATATACCTGTAGCAGTGCTTCCAGCCTTTAATGTGTGCTATAATCTCGCTCTTCAGAACTTGCACCTTGCACAGCCTGCACTGGTAATGCGGCTGCACAGTCCTGCTGGGACTACGGTATTCCCACACATACTGCAGGCCTGCCAATGGCAAAAAAAAAAAGCAACGCTAAATAAGAGCATTAAAGCATTAAAACATAACAGGCACTTCAGCAGGGTTTTCAAAGTACTTATATAAGGAGTATATTGAGACTAGCTGTTAGTAACTCCACTGATCCCTCTCATGATCAATATCAAATAATGCCTTCAAACAGATGTTTTAGAGTTTGTCAGTGAAGGCTTTTTAAAATGAGGAATACTTTTATTCCTCATTCAAACCACTCAATCAATAACTGAGTTAATAAAAAATGAATGTGTAACTGTAAGTTATGTAAGTGAATGGCCGGTGGTGTACATTTACAGGGCTCTGGTATAGTTGTGTGGATTCTTGTAGGGGTGGTATAAAATGAATATGTATGGGTAGATGGCTCTCAAGTAACATTTACTTGTACCACACACACATACTGTATAAAACTACTGTAGGTTTCTGCATGTGTAAAACAGATGCCTTGATGTAAGACAAATTTAGGAGAAATCAGATGAAATATTTGCACATCATAGTAACACTAGTTTTAAATTATCCAGAGAAACTACAAGCTTCTCCAAGTGGACCACAGTTAGTATGCTACTTAAAAGCCTTAAAAGTCAGCCCACAAATATTGCTGCAGATAATTTCCTTGCCAGTATACTAAAATACTGCTCTGCTCCACACACCCACAAGTCATTCCAATATCTCACCTATTATGGGTTCAGTGCAGGTCACTAATATCTTGTCCAGGAGAGACTTCACATTTACTCCTGGGCGCGTGGAGCCTGGGCAATGGCAGAAGGATTAATACAGAGAGAAGTCAGAAGGGAGCAACACGGACTTTAATGGCCTACAACACCACCGACACTAGGTGAGCACAGGATTTATTCACCTGTATGGCACACGACAGCTTCAGTTTCAGGGATGTATGGTTGACAATGCAGTGTCAGTGTCCACACAAAATGCCAAAAACTGTATTCAAATAGAGTTAAGCTTTTAAGAGCAGGACTGTTAAAGCTGAACTCTCAGTAAGTGTTGTGGTTTTCTCGGTTTCACAACACCTAATCTATCAGATAATTACATTTTAGATAGCAGCTATATTCCATTTCATGTTTATGTTCACTGTGACCATCTTTTAAAGCCTACATTCTCCAACTTCATCAAATTATAGTGAATCTCCCAGACCTATAGAAATGATTGCAGCCCCACAGTTACAATTATTAATAGCATAAATAAGACATCTGATCACCCATCATTATATGTTCTAGAAGTATTAAATTCAAAACAGTAAAAATGGAAGTAGCTTAAATAACCCTCCATGAGCATCCAGTATAATATCCATCACTCCAACTCTAGTGGGGGGGGTTTCCTTGCTGCACAAAATAGTGAAATTAGGAGGTAAAGTGCAGAAAGGGAGAGAAAGAAGTCATGCTCAATATTAAACAGGTATAGTTACTCTTTTTTTGTTGTATTTGATGCTCAAAAACCTTAAGTGCATAGATAAGTGGACAGAAAAAGAATGAGGGTGTTAAGGACACTCTCCGTTAACTTGCAAAACTAGGATCATTAAAAGTCTCTGACCAGCAAAATCTCTGCAAAATGTGCGACAGCTCATTACAACTTTCCTCTGCCTCGGAAGGCAGCAGATCAGCGGATTTCAGTTTAAAAGCAAATGGGGTCTCTTCCCACCACTTGCGCCAACATTTCACATGAACATGGCAAAAACCCTTCAATGAATGTGGCACAAATTCATACAGTTCATGTTTTTCTGAAGCAGAACGGACAGAATGTGTCCTGGCACCCACTTGTGTGGATTCAACAAGGACACCTGGAGCTACTGCGCCAGTCCCTCCTTTTGATACAAGTCCACTCCTTCACATTACGCCTTCACTGCAAAGACCACAGCAACATCCCCGTGCCACGCTCTTACGCAAAACCATCTTAGTTTAAAAAAAAAGCTCTTCACCATATCCATGTGAAGAGGATGGCAAAAAAGGAATGCCTCTCTGAATTCCATTGCTGCACTATGGGATACATTAGCCTATCTGAACTGAAGAACAGGAGCTTCGACACTTTCTAGGAATCGCACCTTCACATAGGTGACAGTCTCATCAACACATCATGAAACACTTGATGCAATGGCGAGACCTAGTAGATTCTGCTTTTCCTCACGCACATATGCCTTGTATAACAGTATCCCTGTCTGCAATCCCATCCCCACATTTTGGGCATCTTTGCAGTATTGGTGGTACAAAAAGCCACTCAGCGAGAAGCCTCTGCAGCCTTCATATAAACTGTCCTGTGACTTCCAGCTACTATAGTTGTCCTGACAGCTCATTTAACATTCCACGAAGAGGTTACGTTGCTGCCGAAGGGCATGGAAATTATGTCACGGGTGTTAAGGATATCCATCCATACATTTTCTAACTGCTTCTTCATATTCAGGGCTGCGGGTGAGCCAGATCTCATCAAACAAAGGGCGCAAGGCAGGGTCCACCCTGGACAGGACCCCAATCCATCACAGGTCACACACATACACAGGCATGAACACACTCACACCAGGGCCAGTTTTCCCCAGAAGCCAATTAACCTACCAGTATGATTTGCGACTGCGAGAGGAGGAAACCCTCATAAACGTGGGGAGAACATACAAAACCCACAGGAATATCATCGAAATCATAACAAAAGTAGATTTTTAAGATTGTCAAGAGATCGTGAAACCTATTTTCTTTCTTATTTTAAAATATAACACCATTTATGGATGATGTTGTCCTGTTTGGCTCATCTGACTGTGATCTCTGGCACACACTGGAGAGGTTCACAGCCAAGTGTGACGCAGCCAGGACGAGGGTCAGCACCTCCCAATCTGAGAACATGGTTCTCCCCTGGAGAGAGAGGATCTCAGGGTAGACTTGTTCATAAGCGAGGGGAGAGAGGATCGCGAGACTGACCAGTGGATCGGTGCAGCAGCTGTTATCATGCAGAAACTGTACTGAACCATGGTGAAGTGGGAGCTGAGCTTTCAGACAAAGCTCCTCTTCTGGTCAATTTATGTCACAGTTATCACCCATGATCACGCACTTTGGGTAGCGACTGAAAGAATGAGATCACGGGTACACGTGGACTGAAATTTCTCGATAGGACTTCTGGGCTCACTCTCCATGACAGGGCAAGGAGCTCAGCAATCCAGGAGGGCTGCGCACTAGACTCGCTGCTCCTCCAGATCAAGGGGAACCAGCTGAAGTGGCTTGGGCATTTGCTGAGGATGCCCCCCCGGACACCTCCTGCTGGAGATGTACCGGGCACAGCCCACTGGGAAGAAATCCCAGGGCAGATCCAGGATACGCTGGTATATCTCTCAGCTGCCCTGGAAATGCCTGGGAGTCCGGAAACGCACACGCTTCCCCACAGAATTCACTCATCAATGCCACTTAGCGACAGAGATCACATTGCAGAAAGAAACAGCCTGCGAAGTAGAAGGATGACAACCATCAACAATGACAGGTTAATAGTGAGGAAAGCAAAGTACTTAAGAGCACCTTGCTTGCGTGCCGCCAAGCCTGCAGGGGGCTGTCCTGGCATCAGCAAAGCCACTCGGCCTCCGGCTGACCTTGCCAACCAAAATCCAGCTGTGCCCACGATCGGGTGCTTTTCAGAGCTACAGTGGTCCTGCATTAGGATAACTATCTTCTCTGAAGGAACAGGCAGTCCCATTTGAACATCACGGACATCCGTAATGCACACTGGGAAGTTTCTAAAAAAGCAGATTTGCGATTCCTAATGTTATTTAGTATACACTTCAGCTTAAAGAACATCAGACGTGGGTAGACGTCTTAACAGGGAAGAAACCCTATTACATGCCAAAAAGAGTAGCCATCTTTCACAAAACTGGTTCAGCTCTGAACCCTTGTAATCCATTCAGGTCAAACTGATTTTTTTAACCTGTTTTCTCAGCAGGTTTTGGGCCCAGTTTTATCAGCAGCAAATTAGATAAAACCGGATGCCAACCTGAAATATGCAGCATTTACTTCCCCTGTATTACAGGGAGGAAAAAACATTTTCACAGCTGCATCTGTGAGGAGTCCTCATCTACCATACGCGAGTAGAAACAGAAGCAAATCCACGAGAGGGCAAGACCGTCAAAGAGAGGCATCGAAAATCCTGCTCACTCTCTTCCGAGCCATATTTTTATGGCAAGCCTTTCAGGCCCTCTCAAGCTGGACAAACTCTTCCAGCTTGGCCATAAACCCACAGCACCTCTCCAAGAGGAACCTGCAGGTGTGACAGCAGCTTCCAGAGCACATTATTTTGGTCTTATCATGAACTTACCTGGTTCACCGAGCTGCTGTTTTTTCTGTCAAAGGATGTGTTTTTAACCATCAGGGAGAAGAAAAAGACAAGACAGCTGTTAGTGAACAACACAGATTAACAGCGAGCCGAGCCCCTCTCACTGGGAGAGAACATCAGCGAACGGTGGGCTTCAGCCCATACAGCGTACAACTCTTTATCTTACCCTGCACCTCTCTGTTCTGCAAGAGGTCCACTGATGAGAACCTAAACTCCATCACTCTCATTTTGTCAGGGACATATTGGAAAATAAGACTACAAATGATCCAAAAAAGACATTTAAACACCAAAGGATAAGGAGTTACTTCATGACTTACAAGGCACCATGTAACAAATCTGAAGTTTGGTTTTGTATATTTAACTGCTTGCTCTATTTCAAGAGTGAATTCAGCAGTAACGTTTAAATCTTGAGTCCATTTCTCTCTCGCAGAATGAGAATATAATAATTGGCTGGGAGTTTTTACACAGCCTGAAATAAGATATGTATAGTGCTTTCAACCCAAAAGATCAGAAAGCACAACACAAGTAGGACAGGCCTCCCTTCACTGAATGCTGCAAGACAGCACCCACTGTTATGCACCAGATCAGCTGCACTGCATGAGATTAAGTGAAGAAAAAGGCTCTCTGGACCAGCAGGTTCTAGGTGCTCAGGGCCTCTTCAAAGAAGTATGTGAGGACAGCTCCCATTCCTAAAGAAATGAGATGCAATGACCTAGACTTATCAGTTAAACTGGTCTAACACAAGTTAACCAGTTCTAGAAACATGACAGACAGAATTTTCTTATCTATGAACATCCCTTTGTGGACTGGTCTTGTTTTATACAAGCAGACCACCATCACCTGAACTGAAGCACGCTGCATCAGTGAAGGACTGAGCCACTCCAGGAACCCGTCCCTACAACTGTGCAACAGCAAGCAGTTCACACTCTCCAGAGTCATGTGCTGATAGGGGCTACAGGGCCTCCTTAGAAGCATAGCTTTTCCTGCTACTCCAAGTGAGCCTTAGAACACAATGGTCCCATTTTCAGCACAATGAACATGGACTGAACAGGAAAAAGCAGTATGTAATCAGGACACTCGCCACACATCTGTGGTCAACAGCGTGCAACGGGTAATAAAAGTATAAATAAAAAAAAGGAGGATGATTTAAGCTCTGAAGCACTCAGACGGGCACCACAAGAGTCAGTATTGAGATTTCTGATCAATTTCCAAAACATACAGGTAGTGGGCAAAAAAAAAATGGAAGCACCTGTATATGAGGTGCTTAATGCCATGAAGGAAAACGCTGAGCAGGCCTGGTGCAAAGCACAACAGCAGACAGGAGAGCACTCTCCAGGATCGTGATGTTCCTGCACTAATCCAAAGTGCAAGACAACACAGATGAGCAACTGCAGATTGCAAACGTTAACCCGGAGCACAGGAAGCCAGCTTCCTCAGAATTGGCCCACCAAGAACTCCCGAGAGCCAGACACCAGTCAGGATACCATTGCATAAATTGCTCATCGCACCAGCATTGCACGTTTGTGACTCTTGTGGTGCAAACAGCCAAGGCAAAGGACTACTGAGAAGTGGAGAAATAGATACAGTTAGATCATAATGCTGGGAGGGGGGGGTAATTTTTTTCTGGCATGGCTTGATACGTCCATTCCCTTAGAAAGTAAGGTCAGTGCTAATCACTACTTCATGGTGCAGAGTGATATTCTTCACTTCACGATGCGTCACAGCTTTTCTTTCCTGTCAGGAATGGTGTCTTCCAGGATGACAATGCCCAAATCCCCCATCTACAGAGCACCTCTGGTCGCCCAGTTGTTTGATGGACGCTGAGCTTATCCATATATCACAGCCTGATCATTCACCAGATCTGAACCCAGTGAAGCATTTATGGGATATTTTGTACTGACATCTGAGACAGCAGTTTTTCCACCTCCACCAACCCGGCATAAGTTGACTGACTTGTTTGTGGAAAAATGCATCCCTCTTGCAGATTTCCACACACTGGTAGACTCTCCGCCACAGCACACACAGACCTCGCTGTCTGCACATGGTGGCCCAACGCCATATTAACCTTGGGATTTCCAATTGTTTTGTCCACTACCTGTACATAGCTATCACATCAGAAACTGCACATGATATACAATTGAGGGGCAGACTGCCTGGTGGTCCAGGTCAGTAAACGCAGCTGGACAGGAATTAGGACACCAAGGAGAACCATGGCTCCTGAACAGCTTGCCACCACCACATGCATGATGTGGCATAGCTGCCTGGTGGGCAGAACACGTAGTGGCATCTGATGGCTCCATTCTGCCTCAGTCTCCCACTCAGCGTTCTGGTGGAGGAGCGGCTGTAGATACCACAATGATCTCCGCGTTACTGCAATGGAACAACTGCCAGAACAGATGCAGAACGCAAGTACAAAGATACGCAAGACCCTAAAGGTCACATGAGCCTCTTCGGGGCATAGCAGCTTTAATACGTCTTTACCAGCCGAATTCAAAACTTAACTGCGCGTTCACACAGCTAGGGAAGCGAAACAATATTCACTACGCTTGTTCAGACAGCATAAATATTATATTCACTTACCTTCTGGTGTTTAGCGCCCCTGCAATGCTCCTGCAAGGCCTGGGCTGATGTGCAGTATATAAGGCATAACTACAGTAAAGGAAAAAAAAGTGCTGAAAAGAACGGAATCTTCTGTTTTCACACAAGACATTCTCAATTTTCAAGCATAAGTCTTTTTTTATTTAAGGAACTAGACATCTCAAAATCAAATAACAGACCTGCAGTTAACTTGACAAGATGCGATTATTATTGAATTCCTGTGCTGACCAAACTCGTTGAACAAGTGAAAGGCGAAAAATAACCAGATTTCATTATACAGCATATTGCTAAACACATTCAATTTAATACTGGATCAAATCTCAAACCACCCAGATACAGATGTACATTGGAACATTAAGTGACTTGCCTATGAGGTCATTTTTATCCTCAATCCAACATGAAGAAAAAAAAAACAGTACCTGACAGTCAGGTGCACAGCAGTCAGGAGGATAAAACACCAAATCACTATCTGCCACTTCTCTAAAATATTGTTATATATTGGAAGGCAAACACTGAACGCTCTGCTGGAGCGTGCATTTTGCATTATTTACACAAACACTATATACTAGATTCATTTTTGCTGCTGAATTCAAGACTAAATACACGACGACTGTCCCCATCAAGTTGTATGTGCAAAGGCAGTGCTACCAGATGCTCACCTTACAGAAATGTGCTTCTTTGTTAGGCTTTTTATTTACCACACTGCTCTTCACATCCACATCCATTCTGTAAACAGAACACATTTGGGAAATGATACGAAAATGTATACGTATAAACATTTACAAAATGCCTGGGAAAAGTCATCGCCTGTGATAGGATCTTCAAACATTCATAATTTTAGGTTTTCATTTTCATCATACATTTTAAAAGAGAACAAATTTTCACTTTATGACAGGAAAGAGATAATAAATACACAGCAAACTCAATGCATAATATTTACGGCAATACATGTTTCTTTCTTAAAATACAGTGAAGAAAAAGAAACGGAAGACAAATTAGAAACACCCTTTCACGCAGCTCTAGTACTTATATTTCCTGCCTAACAAAGTTTTTAGAGATTTTGATTTAAAGAAGGCATAATGCGTCGTTCGGCACCAAAAAGAACACCAACTTTACTTCGCCCAACAAATTAAAGTCTACGAGAGTTCTAACGTAACAAGTAACTTTAATTCCAAGTAGCAAAACTCGGATTATATAATAATCACACAAAACTGAAAGTGATTCGAATAATTATAACCTCGTGTAAATGAACTATCAACGATCAACCACGCAATCTGCGCAAATCGAAGTCGCCGGAGAAGACGCAGTACAGATCTAAAACAAACATTGCGGCCAGAAAATATAAACGTCAAGATTATTTTACCCCTGCACAGAGAAGTGACATTCACCACCAATTTAAACTTAGATTTATAAATTAACTCTCTACTTACCTAAAGTATGAAAAATAGGTAACACTCTCAATCCGGCCCAAAAAAAATCTTTCAGCAAGGAAAAACTTCCGCTTCCGGTTTTGAAATTAAAGAACTTTTACGTCACAGGAAGAAGACGAAAATCGGAGGCTTAGAGTTATGTGCGTATTTTAAAGTTTAAAATACGCACATCATAGCACAAAGGAGAAAAGTTATCCAAAAATGAAAAATAAACAAAGCACAAAATAACAAGCTGCCAGAAAACGTTTGCTAAATTATTACCAATACCTTTTAAAGAGAATATAAATTGTAAAACAAAAACAAGAAAACCACAATACCAACGCATTCGTATTTAGGATTACTAAGTACTTTTCAATTAAAAAAAATACAAACATAACCAACAGTGCAACGCACATGAAAAAAAGAAGCCGGTTTCCGGTTTCGTCGCACAGTAATGACTTAATCCACAAATTTGAATATAGTGTGAAAATAAATGTCATTTTACAATTTACAAAGACCTTGTATTCCCAGGGATTATTCGAAATCTGTCAGGCTTTAAAACCTGTATTAAATCGAAGAACATTTTCTTATTTTCGCTCTTAAACATCTGCGTAATGTCGAACACTCCTTGAAGCCGTCCAGAACGGCGGAAATTAGCGTCTTCTGCGCGTCCAGGAAGTACCGGAAGCACCATGTTTACATCGCTGCAGCATCTATACAGTGATATCTACTTGCTGCTTCGCTACATCTGAAGTTTTTGTGTAAAAACAAATTGTCTTCCCCTATACGCGTTTATATTTTTTCATATATATTATAATACCCCACAAAGCAGAGATTAAGCTGTTATTAAATAATTGGAGTTGGTTTTCTTTAAATCATTGGAAAATGGAACAGCTCGAATCGGAAGGTGAGCTTATATGTTTAAATTGTTTTTAGTTCGTTTCCAGGAGAGAAGTTCCTTTTGATGCCTGTAAACCACAGACTGCGTCTTTGTGTTGAATCACTTTAGTGAATTAAAGATGACATCTAAAAGATATTCTCTCCACCACTTGGATCTATTGGTTTTTAAGGTTCATGTAATGTTTCTGACTTGACAGCGTCCGAAATAGATTCTAAAAGAGGCCAAAAGTTTACACTTTTTACAGAATCAAAGGCTTCAACCATTTACGATGGAGCAGATCTGATATGAACTACAAGACCACGACGTTCATATGTGTGCTTTTCCCCACAGAGAAAAGTGAGGAATGCGGAGCCCAGGCTTCTCACTTGCCCAGTGCAGAGCACAGGTACGACATGCATGACATTCAGACTCATGAATTAACAGTAAAATCCAATTGAAAAGCATTTATCATATAATTTCTGCTGTTTTTAATTAAAAACCAAATGTCCATAAACGGATCCACCTTAAGTGCAGCTAGTGCAGATCTTCTGTATGATCTCTTGAGAACAGGAGGCTCCTCTCTACACAAAGGATTGTGGGAGTGTGGAACAGGCAAGCCCGACATGTTGTTGAAAACGATACCCTGACTTTTTTCAAGAATAGGCTGGATAGGATTATTCCCAGAATCAGTTATCTGCTCAATACCAGATGGGTTGCATGGACTGAATGCCTCTCTTTTGAAACGTTTTTTATGTTCTTGACGCTGCACTTGATTTGGAGTAAAGATTTTCCCTAATTTTCTGAGGATGCCTTGACATGTTTTGAGAGCCCTTGAATCAAAATCTACCCTAACCCAAATGTCATCAGCGAGTGAATTGTTTGTACCTTATCGGGTGCAGACTAACTCTTGCACATGTTGACGTTTGTCAGTAAAATGTTGTGATGCCTTTTTGACCACTCCTTGGACTGTTTAAGAACTCACTACTGGAGAAAGAATTTGTAGTGACGTCTTGGAACATTCATATTAAATGTGTATGTGTAGTTGCAAAGGTTAAGTGTTCTTTATTTTTCTCGACAGCGAGAATAAAGGCAATGAGCTGTGTGCGAAGGAGCCTAAATCTCACTCCTGTAAGGTGAGAGAAATCGAGAACTTTTTGAAGAGGCAAAATGTGTAAATCTGCAGTACTACCTTCAGCTGTTCTTTGACAGAAGGCCCTTTGCTTACATTTTCCTGTTTTCATGTTTTTTTTTAACCATTTCTTTTTTCAGCTTTGCGGCGTGAAAGATGTCAATATTTTACAGTACTACATGCATCTTGTGGGAGGAAAGCACAGACAGGTACGGACACATTTTTTTCCTGTAAAGCAATTTCTTGCAACACGCGGTTAGAAAATTAAAAAGCCAACCCTTGAATCGTAAAAATCTGTAAACTGCTCATTAAGAATTCTATGATCTCATTCCAAACAGGAAAGAAACTGCAGCACAAAAAAAGCTATAGGCAATGTATACTCGATAATTTGAGTACATGAGCAACCGGAGGTAAAGTTCAGCAGTTCTAAATGCTCCCGCCTGCAAAGAAGAATAAAGATTTGTGCAAAACTAAGTTTAAAATGTTGAGATTAATTGCATTTTTTGGTATTTTGCATTTTGCTTCAGTGCCAATAAAGTGATGGATTAAAGATTCTGGGATTAATGGGTACTACAGAACACTAAGGATTCTTAATTTTCTGTCTTTTTTTCTTTGTGTTGGATTGAAACCAGATTCCAGAAATGGGTTGAAAACTGAATTTGATACCTTAAGCATTTACAGTATATAAGTAGCTATGAATGAGCAATTATAATGTATTTGGCAAAACTGCTCAACTTATTTGGCGGTTATTTGAGGTATGTCTTGGTTAAATGGCGTATAATTGTAATGTATTTGATTCATTAATTACTTGCATGTTTAATTGGAAAATGATCTGGATGGAATGTCTCACGTGTTCAGCTCATCACGAGAGCCAAATTAAGATGTGTGTTGAGTGAAATGTGTGTGTTTGTACTGAATCATTTGCAGAGTGTGCCTTATACGTTTCACTGCTGCACAGCACTGAAAATAAAGTTTGTTAAACTCAAAACTCACCTTTGCCCCTCTTTGTGTTACATTTTCCTTCTGCATCAAAAGAGGTTGCGCCAGGAAGGCCTGACAGGTGAGCGAATCTGCCGTGCTGTCTTGCACACGTTGAGGCCCTGTGCAGTTAGCTTTACTGATCTCACTATCACCCAATGGCAGCTGAAAATGTTTTTTTTTGTCAGTTAAGTTTCTACTCAGACTATTTTATCTGACTTATTACAATATATAGCATTGTCAGATAGCCCTACTGTATATAGCAGTCAGAGATTTATATATAATGTATTTACGTGGACAGTGGAATTTATAAAGGGTTTAAGTTTTAGAAATAATATTTTGCACGGGGTGTCAAGGTTTGTGACTTCTGCTGAAATGCAGTCTCTTCATCTTCTTAATAATGGCGAATGTTTCGGTTTCTCCTTGTTTTTCCCAACATAATGTAATACCAAAATAAAAAGAACAATGTCTCACCCTACACTAATCACCTCCTCACTTCCCCTAGCACTATTCAGTGGGGTTCCCATCTCGGTTTCTACCTAAATAGCCCTAAAATAACTCGTAGAGCTGCTGTGGTACCCTCATGCAACAATACTGTGACTGTGTGATACTCTGGCAACTGTGGTAGCACAGATCTCCGCAACCAAAATATTTCTACAGCATGCTTAGCAAAGTAAAAGTTGGTGATTTTGTATATAGGCCTAAAAAAGGCCTAAATAAAATCAAATTCATGTCAGCATGCTGCATACATTAAGACAAAAGTAACGCGCATAACTACAGATGGTGGATTGTGTACTGAAGTAACTGTGTGGAACCTGAAAAAGGTGCTTTTTTATTTATTTTTTTAGAGAACAGATAAAACCATTTTAAATACAGATGGCATTACACAACAGTTCTTTTATAATGCCAATATACATTTTTATAAATTTGTAAATATACCAATTTAGATCACACATGAAAATGTAGTCTGTTCTTATATATTTTACAATTATTTTATTTCCAACCAAACTATATACCTGAAAAGGGTGTTTCATAAAACAAAAGAAAAAGCTCTTTTATAAACATTTGCCGCCTTTTCTCTCTCCCTTGAACACAATCCCACTTCATATTTCCCACTTTGAAAAATATTCAGTGCAACAGCAGCTCATCTGTAGCTTGTTGTTTCATCTAGTGTGATCGATTGATCAATGGCGTGCAGTATCATGCCATCAGATCAGTGAGATCACATGACACTGACAGCATGGAGCCGCATCAGCTCCTGTCCTGGTGGGGGGGGGTGGTTACACAGCAGAGTGAGAAGTGACATTTTTACACAGGATCTGTAGTGGGATGGCAGGGGAGCTATGGGTGTGATACGGTTGTGATCAGTCTTGCTGCAGTCATTTTGGGGAACAGCATGCAGGAAAATATTTCGATCAGTTTTCTCCGATTTTTCTCTCAGTTCCTGATTCAGAAGCAAGTTTACTAAAGAAGGGAGTTCTGCATGTCTATATGGAGATGCAGAACCGCAAGGAGCCAATTATTGGTAAGTGTCGCCACTGTAACTAATACCGATAAGATAGAAAAGGCACAGTCTCTAATTAGTTTGTTTAATTACTATCCCTGAGGTTGGATAGCACACCTTTGATTGGTCTGCACAGACCATGTCGTTCTGGTCAGGATCAGTGTGACTATTCATTTTTTGCAATTCTTAAGGTTGTAAAAGGAGAAAAAAAGAAACACCAGATTAAATTGATCTGTTGCTTGAAATGACAAGTTCTTGTACCTCAAGAATTCTCTTACTTTCTTTTTGGCTAGGTTGGTGTAGAAATGCTTCTGCCTGCTTTCACTTTTCCTGCATGGCAGCTCCAGTTTGACATTGTTAGCAGTCACGTATACGATATGATATCGTCCCTTGACTTGTTCTCTTTTTCAACCGATTCTTCCATGACTTGATTCAATGGGGAGGTCTGATGTTCCCCTTTTTGCTGATTTCCCGAGGGTAGCCTCTTAAAAGACGTCTTGTGCCGGATGTGGGTCAGCCTCATTGTGTTTTACCTCTTGTCTGCCTGCAGGCTTGCAGTTTGTGGTCCAGTTCAAGAGCACGGGGGACTCGGATCATCCATATTACTTCTGCCAGCTGTGCAAAGTCCTGTGTCAGAACGACGCTATCAGCCACGTTGCCAGCCGTACGCATCGCTTTACTTACATTGTGAGTAAGAGGAGCTTCCAGCTTCATTTCGAGCAGGGCCTCAGGCCCAGTTCCTGGAGGGTCTGGTGTCTCTTAGTTTTGTTCCAACCTGAGGTTTCAAATCAATAATCAAACCATTTTTCTTAAGGTCTTTTCCAGTTGACTATACAAGACATTTCCTTCATTAAAGGGACAGTTACCTGTACGTTATTTCTGGGAGCAGATGAGTCTTAAAAGACCCTGGGAAACAGCCAAAGGCAGTGGCAGAGAGCCCCGCGTGCTCTGATCTGTGCAGGCAGGAGCGGTTTTTTTTATCTGTTGCAGTGCTCTTAAACCCACTTCCTGCAGGGCCCTGTGGTGTTCGGTCCAACTTGAATAGTCAGTTACACATTTAACCTAATTATCTCCTAAATGACATATAGGATGTTTGTTGACAACACATCGGCGTTCCCCTGCAGCTCATTCAATAATTAGACTAATTATAATGGAGAAGGGAGTCGCCTGCCTTTGACTCCTTAAATTTTCTTGGGGAGGTCGCTTCAGGGATTGTCTGTTTCTGCCAAGGTCTAAGATAGGGGACGGTGAATTGACTAAGTCCTCAGACAGATTTCGCTCCCCAGACCCGACTCAATTTTTGTCTTTTCTCGATAAGTACCCAGTCTGAATTACAGACGCATGCAGGAAAATACTCGTCCAAGTTTCCTCTGGCCTTTCTTTCAGCTCCTGATTCAGAAGGAGGTTTAATCAACTCAAGCCATGACAGCAGCACTCAGACTCTCAGTGAAGACATGACAGACTAGGCGCTGTACATGGGATATTTGTCTACAACAAACAGTGACACACATGACTGACTTAAGGTCTATTCTCACCGAGTGTGGTGCGATTTATCACATGACAAAATAATTATTTTGTACTGGTGGAGACAAGTCTGTTCTCAGTGTGATGGAAGGAAGGTTTCATCACCTTGTTGGGTAGTCTTCAGTATCTCCAGTGCCATAACGCTGGACTTCTCACCACGAGGAGTTACCGTGGCGATACTTCAGTTCCAGTGTGGGCGTTTCATTTTCTCACTCTAGGCACGTACAAGTAAGTGTCTGGTTGCTGCTTCTTTTTTTCATGCATTGGGATAAGGGTAGCCCATGTTGGTGCTGCACTGCTTTGTGTTATAGGCTAATACAGTGGTTCTCCCGGAGCACAGCATGTCTGCTCATGATTTCGTTGCAGCTGAGCCCTTATTCAGCGGTACAAATTGCTGCCAGTCGTCGACCTGGTAGTTTCCTTTCTCTTTTCCTGATCCTGAGTCTCGCCTGTGTTGTCTAGTTTTTGCTCCAGCTGAGTACTTAAGAAGTTAGCCATTGCAATTTCAGTTTTCTGTTTGAGGCCTTATTTAAAACTTGTTTTCAGCTCTAAGAAAGCTGAATGAATCGGTACGAACTGTGCGCTCAGTAGGGAGTTTCAGGACTGCCCTCATTCAGGCTTGCGAGCTGCAATGTTGTATTATTAGGCTCCTCAAGTCAAAGCCAAGGTGAAGGTAGTGAGTTAATGTGAAGGTCTGAGGACAAGAGCAGGTTAAATATCATATGTTGATTTAAAGCAATGTTTTAGCATGACAAACAAGTCATGAAGTACTTCTGAAGCTGGAAAGACCGCTCAGACTGAGCTGTGCTGCATTTAGCCAAGAGCTCAGGCATCTGTCAGGTAATGTGTCAAACATTCCTCTGCGATACAAAGCAAAGCGATGCTCCAGGTTATCGTAGAAACCTATTATATAAAGAAAATGACACCAGTTGAAGTGAAGCTGTACGATGCCCACAGGTGTCCCTGGCCTTCAGCTCACCCAGCCCCTCAGTGGTGCTGTGCCACACAAAGGGCCCCATTTACAGACTACCTGCTGTATGGTAGGAAATAGCACCTCTCTTGCTGCTTGCTCTGCCTGCTTCATTACATTGCCCACATGAATCTCTTTGAGGAGGCAGGTCTACAGACACGTTTCTCTTCTGTAACAGCAATGTGAGAGCTGCAGTAGTGGACAACAGCGGCATATTGTGACTGTCCACGAGCCACACTGAACGACCAAAGACTTGCGGGGACACATCCTATGTATCTACATCAGAATCTCGTCTCTGCTGTGTTGGGTTGGCCGTTTCGCAGAGTTACCCCATGCAGAATAGATCAGTGAGGAAGGGGTCGCATCTTTGTTTCTTAATTTGGGAGTTTAGAGTTGGCAGTCAACGTTATGGACATGTCTTTCGGAAGGGAGAGGAAACCGCGGTTGTCTGGAGAAAACCTACAAGAGCACAATGAGAGCTTGAGGATCCTACACAACAAGACGCCCCAGAGCCTGGAACCACAAGACAGCAGCCCTAACCATTGCGCCACCCAGCCCCCAGGGAATCATCTTATCGACTCTTCTGTAGCTGATGAATTGCATCTTTTCTGTGCAGACAGTTTTTAACATTAATATCATATTCTCCCCTTATGTAAACCGGGACCCATTGTGGAAACATAATAAGAAATGCAAGCAGTTGACATGCCAGTGTTTTTTCACTTTTAGAAAGAAATTCATCCAGACATGCTGCCTCAGAATTTGAAAAACCCTGGGGCGATTCACCTCCTGAAACCCATCGCGCAGACGCTGGAGACGAAGGAGGGCATGGGGGAGGTTCAGGTGACTCACGGCTCTGTTGGGTTGACCCCTTTCATAAACCCTACTTCACAACCCACCCAGCTGTGTCACGCGTGGTACAGCTCATTATTCAAGGAGGTCTCGAAACAGAGGCTTTATAAAGTTTGTCCACTCCAGAGCAAAACTCAGTTCCCATTTTAGGGGGCCATGGAGGAAGGGCAAGTAGAGTAGAAAAGAGGTTTCCAGTTAAACACAATACCTTTCACCAGAACCAGACGTTTCTATAACCGCTTCTGGAGACCTGTTGGAAAAAACACTTCGCACAGGACTTTATTTTAACTACACTGATTTCCAGTTTTTAGGGAATGTTGTCCAGTCTCTTTACATCATTTGTTGGGAATGTTTGGAATCTTTTATGTTTGTTTTACTCTTCAGCAACATTATATATATATTCTCTACAGTAGGTGTTCAAGAGTTTTTCAGATTTTCTCAAAGGCTTTTTGTCTCTTATCTTTGTTAAGTTAGCCCCTATGCATATTAACTATTTTATTTTAGAGCACTGTATTAGCTCTGTAGATGAAAAAGAGATTTTCTAACAAATAATCTGTCCATCTTTCACATTAAAATGTATGATGGAAGCTACAAGCCTTTCACAATATGCCATGTATCTTTTTAAAATTGCTCCTGTTTGAAAATAGTGTGGAGTGGGTGATAGACTACAGGGTGCAACAGATATGCGTTTGGAAAGATAGACAACATCTCAATTGTTGTACCACAGCAGTAGGTCATACCTGGTCTATTATTTACCTGTTTTTATTTTCAGTTTGTTTTTTGGTTTTACAGTTAAAAGAAATAATATTGCATGGTACCATATATAATATTGAACAAATGTGAACAATCATTATTGAATGAAAAACCTGGTACCTAAACAAACTGTGTATTACAAGAATAATATGAAAACAGGAATAAGTGTACAAAAGTAGTACAAAAAAGGAAAGCAGAGATTTGGAAGAGATAAGCAAAGGAAAAAGAGGAAAGAAAACCCTATTTTTACCTGTTTTTTATTAGTTTTTTGTCTACTGTGAAAGGCCTGAAATGTAATCTTTTTTTTTTAGTCTCTGAAGGTCTTTGTTGTTTCGTTTTGTTTCTAGGTGCAGACCTTGTCTCCTGACGACTGGTCTAAATTTAAAACAATGAGCCTGGAAGAGAGTAAGTTTCTGTCAACTTTGTGAAGATTCCTAACAGTGCTTTAAAGACGTATGGCACAGTCTTGTGTGCACGTTTTTTTTTGACTGTATGAGATGTGAATGCATAAATGTACCTTATACATCTTGCTGTATAAAACTGGGTGAGAAAGACAGAAATCTGAATTATTCTTAGAGTCTGGCCATTTGAAACTCACAATCGGAATGTATTGCCGTGCAGTAGAAAAGTATTTTCTGTAGACCTCAGTCGAGGGTCTGGCCTCAAGCCCTGGTTCTTGTGTTTCTGTCCGCAGTTATGGAGAAGTATCAGGTGGCAGCGTTCTCCACGAAGCTCCCCAGTGGCGATTCAGAAAAGTGCCAGAGCGACCTCCCAGTTGGTCTGTATATTTACCTGCATTTCTTTTTTGCAGCTCTAGCTGAGCATCTTTTACATGCAGACACTGTATACTGTTTTCCTTTTCACAAAACCTGTTCAACCTGTATCTGCGCACTTAATTAAAACGGAAGGTTGAAGAATGAGAGTCATGACAGGCCTGTTAAAGAGATGTACGTTTATGTGCAGTTTGAAACTGATGCCTCAGAAGGTTGGAAACTGAGGTTTAGTCCAGACTAGTGATTTTATTTTATTTTTTTGCACAGAAGGACTACAGGGTTAACACTTACATATCTTTGTGACTGCTTCTATCTCCTCCTCCCAAGGGCCTCAGCCTTTTGACACCCATCTCTCTTACAGAAGCTTTGCCTTTTGAAAAGAATAAGAAAATAGAGAAGCTCAATGCACAGAAAGAAGTCAAGGAACGGAAATTTCCCTGCTGTGAGGTGCGAGATTGTTGGGGGGAGGGAATTTTTGGGAAAATCACTCCATTTGCAGAATGTTTTAGCCTTTGCTTGTGTGTGGTCTTGAATCAGTCCAAATATGACCATGGGAAACATGTTACCATGGACAACGACTGTGCACAGTGGACAAATTGTCACATTGCCAGTATTCAGCTGAGACTCCATGCACTCTCTTCTGATCTAGTGCTGTCTGGTGTGAACTGTTGCTGACCATTGTCCTATTTGTATGTGAGCAAAAATGTCCATGCTCAGAAGTGAGTCTTTCCCAGTCCAGTTGTTGAAATAGGGCAGCTGGTGCCACAGTGCCGTGTAACCTGAGAGATTAGATCAAATTAAGATGCACAAAGTTTTACATCCCCGACTTGAATATTCTGATCTGTTCTTTTCATATTCTAGACAAGAATAAATCCTGTTTTCTTTAAAAAAAAGGGTGGAATCACCAGTTATTTGAGACTGGGCACTCTAGGAACAGCTCCAGTTCCCACCCGGTGAGGAGGAAGACTTGTAGACATTTTCCTCAGACACTCCTCCTGTCAGAACTGCTTGACCATTGACCCAGTACAAGCCCCACCGAGTTTTGACGGAGATCTAGGGCTGGCTCCAGGCCCAGCACATCTCTTGGTGACGTCATTGCAATCCTGCCGGTGTCCAGGACACCGCTGGAGTCACTGTGTCCCCAAGATCCTAGCTGACCAGTCCATCCCAGGGTCAGACCTGTGATATCTGAGCCGTAACAGCTCACCTTTACCGTTTGAGCCACAAGCTATTGACAGCGAAGCTGTCTTTTTGGTATATTCTTGATTTATCCCTCTGAAGCTCCTAATTATAGTTAAGCTGTTGAGACATTATTAATCGATGAGCACAGTTTTTGGGGTGCCGTTGTACAGCCGTTGAGGTACAAATGTGTATGACCAGTCTGTCTTGTATTGTGATACAACTCGTTTGCTCCTTAATTAACATGATTAACATTAAGAGAATTATAAAACAATATTGGGCCTAACATGTAATAACAGGCTCAATAACAGTCTTTATGATTTGCAGTCCATCATTGTTCATGTTTTCAGTTTCTAGATTGTTTTTGTTTCTTGCCTGGCTTTGAAATCTGTTATCTCCTCTGTATGTCTTTGTGTAGATCTGTGAAGTGGTTTGCAGCAGTGAGATACAGTTAAACATGCACTTGAACGGAAAGAAGCACAAACTGGTAAGTATCCCTCATTCAAAATCTGTCAGTGTTGAGAGAATCTCATCCAATGCGTAATACTCTTTTTTTATTCTATAAAGCTTCTAAGAACCGTCTGAACCATGGAGGAATGCTAAAATTACCCACATTCTGGTGGTCACCTTTATTTTCTATAGCGCCATTCAACCTTAGTTGACAGTGCTATCAGTCCATTCAGATATCAGTCCACTTTGGCTGAAGCAGTTCTTTGCCTGTCCTGTTGTGAAATGTGGTTTTACAGTAAGGATATTTCTTCTAACAAAGTGCTCAGAATTGTGCATGCTGATCATCAGTTAACTTCAACTGATCCAGAAGAAGACAGATTTGCCATAGGTAGACATCCTTGAATTGGGCAGTTCTGTTCAGGTTTAGTTCTTCATCAAAAAGGAAAACTATAAAAATAAATATAACACCTTTGATGAAATAAATAAAGGCATATTTGGGTGACTTGATAGAGAACATGAGACGTTAAGGTTGTGATGTATTTCGAAATATTTGTGAAACAATTTTTATTTACACATTTAACTATACACCCTGACTGTTCAAGTCTTTGTGGGCAGTTTTATTATCTACACCATAATGTAGAAATTTTGCAGACAGAGTGAGATGAGAAGTGTTCTGTTGCATCGACTATTTTACTAATTCACTGGTCGTTCTTTTGTTTTTATTGGTGGTCATCTGGTGCACTTGGAAAGAAACTGAAAACTGTTCAATGCAAAGGTTAGTGCATTGACTGTGTGTATCTATGTGACAATAGTGTCAAGAGCAATTAATGAAAGTTGAGAGTTTTATTAAGGTTGCATTCGTTTAATCCTTTATTAATTCTGGGCTTTGTAGAAAACTGGACTGCAGAAAGTGTGGGGACCTTAAAAAACTATGTTGAAAATCCCAAGAGGTCTGAACCAGTGGTGGGTGAGTACAGGGTCCACTTCGCTAATATCTTCCTGCTTAAAATCTGGGAAAACTTTACTAAGCCCTTAGACCAATTCAGACTTACAATGTAGGCAGACATATACTAATTATTATGCCAACAACATAGACTGCTGCTGTTGGGTTAAAACAAGGAAACCCTTATGTGTTTGTTTCCCAAGTATCTTTAAAAGTATAATTAATTTCTGGTCGTGCTGTGACTGACAGTTTTTAAAGCAAGGGCTCCATGTCTCTGCCTTCGTTTGGATTTGGATGTTTTTGAATGTCATAATCATTGTTTTTATGATTCCACAGTTCTTAACCTGGTTTGTTGTATAGCACCTGCGAAGTAGAAAAGCTGTGTATTTTGTGTTCGATTTAGAACTTGTGCTTTAATGTCAGAAATCTTGCTTAAATTCTGTGTAATGTTAATTATGGTGGCAAAGTGGTTAGCATTACTGCCTCACAGCGCTAGGCCCCTGGGTTTCATTTTGGATCTGGAGTTCTATCTATGTGGAGTCTGCATGTTCTCCTTGTATTTGTGCAAGTTTTCTTTGGGTGCTCCGGTTTTCTTGATCCAAAAAAATCCTCACTGGCAAGTTAGTTGGCAGTGGACTGGCATCCTGTCCAGGGTGTACCCTGCCTTGCGCCCATTGGCTCTGGCACCCCTGTGACCCTGAATTAGAGCAGGCAGTTACAAAGTGAATGGACACGTTAATGTGAATTGAACTTACACAAAGAACAGCACAGTGTGGCCATGTGCTGAAGGAATGTTGGTTGTCTTTTCATGAGCAGGCCTGAAATACGTGACAGAATATCGCTTCCCAGATGAAAACCAAGTTCCTTATTACTTGTGCAGCCTGTGCAAAATCAAGATGAAAACAGGTATTACATCTCATGTCACGAGCCGGAAGCATCGCTTCATCTACATGGTAAGTAAGAAAAGCTGTTGGCTCATGCCTCAGTTTGAGGAATTGCTGGTTTTATAGGATAAAAGCGAAATTTCTGTGGGAACCTGGGTGGGTAGTGAAGGGATTAAATAGTCGGTGCTTACCTCTCATTGGGTTTTTCTTGTCTCAAAGAGGGAAAGTTTTCCCAGGTGTAGGAATGATTGCAGTGTTTTATGACAGGCAAAGAAACATGAATTAGTGATTTTTAAAAATTAATTCAATAGATGGGGGTGAAGATTAGATTCTGAGTTATTTAGTGTACTGCCGTCTGTGGGACTGAAGTTTTCGATTTAGAATTCACACATGTATACACCAAATCTGATCATAAGACCTCCATTTTGTTTTTTATTTGTGGCTCATGTTTCGATTATGTTAGCATACAGTGTTGTTGTAATTTTCATGAGTGCTGTATGATTCCCCTTGATTTGCCAGACACTTTGTTTTTAATTATTTTACCATTTCATTTCTGCATTTTAACTCCTTGCATATATGCATATTCAATATTAAGTATTTGCCGGTTTAATCCTGGCTTCTTTATTGAATCCTCGCTATAAATTTTGTTGCACCGCCTATCAAGATAATAATGTTGGTAATTTACACCAAAAAGTGACACAGTTTAATCATTTGTGGTTCATAATTACACTCTATCCCCTTCCCCTTGCCTTTCTCTCCACTGGGGACTGACGTTACAATATGTCTTTTTCCCTAGAAACAACTGCATCCCGATTCGCTGCCATTCTATTTGAACCTAGATCAAATTCCTAAGATAAGCTCCTTCCTGAGGGAAAAGGCTGAGATCCTGGAGAAGACCTTTGGACGTGGCGAATACCTGGTAATGCAGAGTTCCGATGAAATGGGCAGGAAACTGAAGTGATTGGTGCAGAAGTGTTGAGCCTCGTGCCTAAAGAGAAGTTGCTGGCAAGGGCTGGCATACACAAAGTTTAAAAGGCTACTGTGACAGGCCCAGACTAATAATAATAATAATAATAATAATAATAATAATAATAATAGCTTATACTTACTGTATATAGCGCTTTTCTGGACACTCCACTCAAAGCGCTTTACAGGTAATGGGGACTCCCCTCCAGCCCCACCTGGATGATGTGACGGCAGCCATAGCGCGCCAGAACGCTCACCACACACCAGCTCTCAGTGGGGAGGAGAGCAGAGTGATGAAGCCAGTTCATAGATGGGGATTATTAGGAGGCCATGATTGGTAAAGGCCAATGGGAAATTTGGCCAGGACACCGGGGTAACGCCCCTACTCTTTTCAAGAAACACCCTGGGATTTTTAATGACCAAAGAGAGTCAGGACCTCCGAAGGACAGCATCTTTTTACAGTATAGTGTCCCCTTCACTATACTGGAGTATTAGGATCCTCACAGACCGCAGGGTGATCACCCTCTGCTGGCCCCACTAACACCTCTTCCAGCAGCAACCTTAGCTTTCCCAGGAGGTCTGCCATCCAGGTACTGACAGGGCTTTTCTTATTTTCAACACATCACATGTCAGGGTTTATCACAAACCTCACCATACCTAGATATGAAATATTTTGTTGTATTTCAATGCACGAAGAGCTGTAGCTCCTCACTGCAAAGGCTTAGAAGTGTTTCCTTGACTGCATGGTAGCTTTTTCTATTTAAGTTTCTGCATGAAACAGATTACATGTTGTGCTGAAAAGAGACTGATAAAATGGTAATGATACAATCTAATTACATTTTTATTGAAATAATTTTAATTTCAAGTGATTAAATGCGGTAATGAATATGATTAAAGACAAATATTGGTGTAGTATACTGTTATATTATATACAAATATATATAAATATTAATACAGGTTGTGTCCCTTTTTTCATTGTTTATTCCATGCTCTTTATACACCTGGAGACACCTGTTAAAATTGGAAATGCATTCTTTGTGAAACTGCATATTCTAGATTTCTACTGGTATTGCAGTACCTTAGTTTAAAAGCTTAGCCTTAGGTTAAGAATGTCAAACCACCATTTAGAACACAAATGCATTTTATGTCATTTATTTGTCATTTCTACAAGATACAAAACTGAAATATTGCTTATAGTTGACACATGTCCACAATTCTTTCCTTTTGCCATATAGTGAGTGCATTAACAAAGCTGTTTGAATTTTAGGTAGAAGTACTACCAGAAGGTGATGACCAAAAACTCATGACCTTGAACTATGATGAAGGTAAGTCACAGATATATCAATTAATATTTGTATTAATTTGTACTACCTATATATTCCACAATATTACTTACAATGTATCATTTTGACTGAAACATAATACTAATGTCTCTGCATGCACACACAAATGTATAATTCATCAGTGTCTTCAGAATTCGAACAGGCAATGTGATTCATTGAATGAAGATTCCTGCTTTCCTGCTTGTATAAAGAACATGACAATATATCAAATATAATAACAACACATGGGCAGTATGTTGGGGCAGTGCTTCACATTGCAACCTCACAGCATTGGGGCAATGGATTCAAGTCTGGATCTGGGGTGCTGTCTGTGTGGAGTTCGTGTGTTATCTCCGTGTTCACGTGTGAGTATGTATGTGTCCTGGGATGGACTGGTGTCCTGTCCTGACTGTATCCTGCCTTGAGCCCTTTGCTTGTCGTGATAGGCTCTGGCTCCAGTGTGACCCCTAATTGGATGAAACAGTTAAAAAATGGATGGATGGAATAATACCATATATGAGAAATGGCTGTGCTCTTGAACACAGCTCAGAATCATCAGTATGCATGTAATCTACAGTTACCTTAACAGTTCAACGTTTTAGAACCTTTCGATTGGATGAACACAATCCACAGTTTGGCCTGGAATGTAAATGCATTGTGGACTTTGACATTTTCTCTTTCACTCTGTGTTTCATTTTCCTCAGATGAAGTAAAATCCCTTTTTGATCTTCTTGTCGCACACAGCTCTGAAACTCCTGCAAAACAGGAGTCAAAAGAAGGGCAAGAGGACTTCTAATCATGTGTTAGAAGGTCAGTGTACTCTTGTCTCTGCACTTGCTTTCTTTTTCCCAGTTCCTACATTTCTGAGAAGATGCCAGGGTCATTTAGTAGATTTGATAAGTGTACCATCTGTTTGGCGATTCACATTTTAGTGTCATCACATGAATGCAATGAAGGCAAGGTGTAAAAGTCAGCTGGGGACAACAGTGATTTCATGTTGTCTTTTAATGAAAATGTGCATGTGACCTATTTACAAAAATGTTGGACAAGCCGCCCCAATTGTTATTCTGGGCTCCTCACAGATGAAAGGGGTCCGGATGACAGTGATTGCAGACGATCGTCAGAAGTTCAGATGAGGGAAGAGAGGTGTATGGACTTTCCCAGCCAGAGGCATCCTGGGAGAAGGGCTCTGGATATAGATCGTGACTACTGGCCCAGGAGAGAGTGTTCTGAAAAAGGCTTGACCAGGTACCCAGAATATCACTCTAGAAGAAGGTCTCCTGGAGATGAGCAGGGGAATCACTATGGGGCGTGCAGAGAGCCTGTAGATCATTTAAAACAGAAGCCAAGAGGAAGATACAGTTCTGCAGGCTTTCCAGCACACAGAGACAAATCTTACTTCACTGACTTTGACCCATACACCTCGCGTGGGGGGAGCCCTGATCCAAGGTACCCCAGGAGCCATAAAGCACAGGATTTCATTACAACTTATGAAAGGCAGAAATATTCTGACGATCTGCCTAGTCTCTCGAAGGAAAGGCATCCTTCAGATGCTGATGATGACAAATACCTTTTGCGTCGTAAAAGGCAAAGACAGTGGGAGGACATCCCGGAAGACAGGTTCTCAGAACCTGATAATGAAGGCTTAAGAGGTGAAGATCATTCTGGATGGAAGTATTCTGAAGACAGAGCAGGTTATAGATACATTAGAGGTGTTAAAGAGGATAAATACCAGTTGGACTATAAAAGACCTAGATTATCAGCTTCCAGGTACAGTCTGAATGAAGAAACAGGCACTCCCTATCCCAGTATCGCAAGGAACAGAATATTGGAGGAACCTACGGATAATGGGTGCCCTGAGAGCAGAATAGAGAGGGGCCATACAAAATTAAGAGAATACGTCTCGGTGGCAAAATTTTCTCTGTGTGTTTGGAGCTCAGATGGAAATCCTGCAGGCCAGAGATCGTCTGAGGACACAAGTGGGGGACATTACTCTGTAAATCCACAAGAAGAAGGGGTAGAAAACCTCCAACCCAAATGCCACAGTAATTTCTACTCAGAAACTGGTATAGAAAGAAGAAGGTTACCTGAAGATCTTCCGGGTCAAAGGTACCCTGAGGATTACACGGGCAGGAATCTGCCTGGGGTTGTCTGGGGGGACAGATTAAAAGAAGACATTCCAGGACCCTGTCAAGTTGAAGACGGCAGCAGTAGAAAGCTTCCACCAGGTGCTGGTTTTAAAGAATTTGCTTCAGGTTACACAGAGCACCCATCTCAAGACAGAAGATACAGTGACAATACGTCAGAGCCTAGGGCAGTGCAGGGTCTGGGCTATGAACGATACAGGTTACCAGAAGATGACTTGGGAGTAAAGAGTACTGCAGGTATTGAACGGTACAGATTTGTGGGAGATACCTCTGCCAGCAGGCTCTCCAGCAAATCCCCAATGGGTTTGCCAAGTAAAGATTTTGAGAGGTGGGGAATGCGTGAGGGTCCTCCTTCCAGCTACCTTGCGGGGAACACCCACCAAGAAAGCCCAGCAGAGAGTGCAGATGCTGCCGGTGTGTGGTGCACTGAGAGCAGGGCAGGGAGGAGTTATCCTTCCTATGCTCAGACACACACACTTTCCACCGGCACTCAGAGGCACAACCTGTCAGAAGATGGTGGAACTGGCTCGAGACAAAGCTTTGGGGCTCGGGACAAAGCTACGGCCTGTGACGTCCAGGGCCAGGTAGTGAGTGAGTACCTCCGAGGTATAAGGTACTCTGCACAGAGTGTCGGCAGAGGCGAGCCTGGGGGAGGCCAACCCAGAGGAAAGCCAACAGGGGGAGCATCCCATGCTGGGGCCCCAGGGAGAAGGGACAATGAGGAAGGCAGAAGGGCCGAAGAGCCATGCTGGTTCACTCACAGTGACACACAATTGGGAACACAACCCCTGAAGGCCCAAATGTCTGTAGTCTACCAGTCTTGTACCCAGAGATCACAAGAGCCAGAAAGAGCTTTTACTTTAGGAGGCAAATCCAGCAACCCTGCAGCCTTCAGTCCCAGACAGCATGGTGCTGGACAATTGAGAAGGTGAGTCTGTCTCTGATCCCACAGGTAAGGTTTTGAACCCTTAAGGTTATCTATTAGTTTTAAAACAGTTGTTCAGTGCCTGAATTATGTGTCTGTGTATTCTGTTTTGAGTGGACATAGCCTCTTTGGTCCCTTATGCAGAGCCTACACTGCTCCGCATCCAGGTCCTTGACAGCAGTCTGCATAGTTTGTGCAGTGAGTGCAGCTGGTCAACACGGTTCTCGCACTCTCAGCCCTTAATAGATTCAACTCTGACTCGCTCATTCTTGTCACCTGCAGCCAAGACTCTCCCACAGTCAGTATACCCGGCTTGGATTGCATTTCCTCAGAGCAGGTAAGGCCTGGACACGCACAGACATTGACAGAGGGATCGGAGCACATTGCTGTGCTGACAGGATTTAGTATAATAGCTGGGAGGCATTTTCCATTCTTGGCTTTAGAGAGGAATGCTCAAGTTTTGCAACTATGTAATCTTGCCAGAAACAAAATCTTCACCATCATTCACGATACAGTACAGTGCCAAATAAAAGAATATGAATAAGAAATAATACTAAAATGCTTCATAAAAAATAATACTCGTAGGGTCTGAAAAAGCAAAAAAGGCCTTGAAAGATCTGATGACTGTGTATGAGTCGCAGTAGGAGATCTGTTGCTCCCGTATTCTAGAATCCCTTCCCCTGTGTTTGTATTACTTCTGTCCTTTCTTTGGTCAGGTTTAGATCAGAACAATGTTGTCTTATGGATAAGGGTAGGTTCTTGGACAATGGGAAGGGTTGTAATGTGGTTCTTGTATTTTCTGTGCTCCATGATGTATAGCATTTTGTGTTTTTTTCTAATCATTTGTGTTCTCATTCTTTTGTTTTTTTCTTTTGCCTACTTATAAATCTCTGTTCATTATGAATTGTTTTTAACGCACAGTGCTGTGCAGAAGTTGTTTCCTTGCTAGATCCAATAGAAAGTTTGATTTACCCTTTAGAAATAAAAAAATAGCTGCATTTATGGTATCCTAAATTAAAAACTGTTGGCATGAGACCAGCTCAACAGCAACAGAAGAGCTGTGAGTGCAGAATTTCAAAATTAATGTATGTTGTAATCTTTCTAAAGTGCTTTGAGGTGGTTCTCGCCATGAAAAGGCGCTTTTTAAAATGGGCTTTGATTGATTTCAGGGCGACAGTGTCCCAGCAACTGTAACAACACGTACAGCTAGAGTACTGCAAGTGTTGGAGCAAATCTTAATGGTACAGGTAGGTGAAACCTTTGGGACACGACTTTGGACACTATTGAAACGATGAAGGCAGAACTAGATGGGTTCAGTGTCGGACACTATGGGAGAGCCTTCAGTTCTGAACTTTGCAGGATATTTCAAAACTGTAGAAGACCATTGTAGTGGTTATTTTGAGAGAATGTTTCTAGAAAGCCATCTGTGTGATTGAGACCCCATCTACTACTCCTTATAAGACTTACTGGCTGTGTGATCTCATGCTTTGTGTAGTGTTGTAAAAAAGATTTTTGCTGATTACCAACATTCGCATTTCAGATTTTCCATGCTGATGTAGTGCTGTGATCAGTCCATTTGCTGTATGTTTGAATGTTCCCATGACAAATTTGAACTGTTCCAGTGATTCCCTGGTTTGTACAAATTGTAAAAGCAGGTGCACGGCTTTACTCCCAGACTTTTTGATGTGTGTGCCAAGGGTGTGTAAGGGGTAGGCTTTGTACCTTTGCATCTTGAACATCATGATCCACAGTCACTATCACATGTGCTCCTAAAAATGGCTCTTCTCCAAGGAATGTATAAATATTAATTAAGTATGGTAAGATTTATATAGAATGGATGAACTCAGAAAATGCAGATTCAAAACCTTTCTTGCTTCTCCTAGTGGACTAAGCTGATTGCATAACAATGCATGCCCTACAGTACATCCTGGCTTTTGATATTATCTGAAATTAAATGAAGTGTAGCACTTTAGTAGAAATCTTACCGTCTTCAAAAGAAGAATATTTGAAAAGGCTGTTACAAACTCAAATAATGAAGAGTACCATTATGGACTGTATATCAATATGTATAAAAGTTCATGAGTAAGTCCTGTGGAGGTTCAACCTTCACTGACAGCCTCTGTTCTGATTCTGATTCCAGCCTCGATCCAGTGGCCAGAGACCCTCAGCTTCATCAGGCCTTTAATGGAGAGGCCTTGTCTGGCAGCCTGAGAGAGGTAATTCTAGTAGTTGAAACTGAGGCCTCTGAGGTTTTTTTGTTTTGTAGGAGGAAACCTTTATTTGTGCACTCTCTGTCCTGTCTGCTTTCCCTCCAGCAGCCCTTGTATCCAGTTCATATACCCACTTAGTGGTACAGTATATGATTAGCACAATGTCTGTATATAGTGATGTACATGCACATGTGAATTAACTTCTGGTGAATCGACCCAGCTGTTAAATCAACATGCAGATGCCAAGAAGCCACCAAGGAATGTCCAAGTAAAAATTGTCAGATAATTGTGTTTATGGGCAGTGTGCCAAAGCACTGTTCTGTGTTAATGAATGGTGATGCTGACCCAATCAACAGTGATTAAAGTAATTCCTAGTTCTAGTTAAGCATAACTTGGCGTCTGAAGTCAGTTAATGGTGAAACAAGTGGGTTGTGCTTTAGGAACTACGTGTGGGAGAATAACCACTTGATGGGGGAAAGTATATGATAAAGATTCTGCATTGAAACCTGGCAGTAATCCTATAAGGAGTTTGCGCCTTCAAGTGATTCATTTCACCAATTGTATGTTTTTCATGTCTTGGCTGACGGCTGTGAACCCTGCATCTGCACACAGGAGAGAATGAGGAAGTGTAATTACATTCCTCCAGCCCGCCCACCTTGTAACCAGTCGTTTTCTAACACTAGCGCCGATTGGAAGAGAAGCACCTCCTTCATGGACAGCACCACAGAGCCTGCATGTGCCTGGGGGGGTCACAGGGGTTGCAGTATTATCGAGAGCTGAGAGAGCCCTGGCTTACTCATCCCAGCCTACAGTTACAGCACTCACCCAGGTGTTCAGTACTGCTTGGGGAAATCCTGGTCAATTGACTAGTGACATGGATCTAGACTCTTTTTTATGAACAGCAAGTTCATGAATATGATACAATAATAAGGGCATGCACCCCGAAATATTTTGGCTTTCCAAGCCTTGCAGTGTGCAATATTTAAATCTTTTGGAGAATGTGTAGATTTTGTTGTAAATCATAAGAAAGAACCCAGTTTAAGCTCTTTTTAAAAAAAAAAAAACATATTTGTTTAGTGATGCTTTGAACAGTACATTTTAAAATATTTTTTGTACTGAAAACAAAATCTGAAGCAAAAGCAAGGTGTCTCAGGCATAAAAGAGAAAAGATTCATCTCCAATCTGTCTCTTGCACCACAAACATAGTAGAACAGCCATGTCTTCCTCACAAGATGATCCTGGATGGCCCAGTGTAGCCTTGATCTTTCTTCCAGACCCCTACATGCTCTTTGAACAGAGAATCTGAGGATACATGGTAGTTGGGCTCAGAGGAGGAAGAAGGGACTAAGGAGCATGGTCAGCATTGTGCACACTGACAGACAGACTTGTCAAAGATCTTGGGTGAAAGTGCTGCAGATTCCCTTTTTCACAAGTGCCCTGTTGGCCTCAGGTCCTCTCTAGTTCTCACATAAAATTGTCCATCTATCTGTCTAGCAGTCTGCAGAAAGTTCCACTCTCATTGCCTATGGAAGTGTTCCTTCACTTTTATGAGATTGTGCATTCGTTAAGGATGTTTGTTCTTTTCCTTTTTATTTTTTTCAAACTTAAAAACAAGTCTTGATTCCAAGAAAAATGTGAAGATACAGTAAATTAGCTCTTGGTTGTTGATGTTGGACAAAGAACTGGGAGGACACCCAGATTGGGGTTGTGTTTAATCTAAGTTCTTTAAAATGTTTAAAATACTGATGTTTTACTTTTTGTGTTTATAGCCATTGGTTAATAAATATTAGTATTTTGACAAAAAGTGACATCCTTTTTTTTCTAATGGTGGCTTTGCCACATTGTACATACCCATGTGCAAGTGTGGTTTTATTAGATGTGTTCGAGAATTCGGTAAGAAATCACAAAATGTGAAGGAAAAACTATTCTGACTTGGAGAAATTTTGAACATCAAGCCATCTTGGCTTTATATGATCATCCCTCCTATGGATTTAGGCTTCAATACTGTGAAAATAGTCTCCATACTTTGGAACAAGGTTTGCATTTGAATTAATTACAGATGAATTAATTAGACTATCATTTTGTTAGTTTTTTTCTATTTAACGTTTATAATTTAAAAAAATGAGTTTGGGCTCAGCATCATGTTGCACACTAAGCATTCTTGCACATTAGTTGAAATAACTGTTCTGTTTCTTCTTCAAGACAGCAGTAATAAGCTGCCCATAAGCCTTATTATTTTTTTGGTTATACCCACCCAATTTTGGTTTCTGTATTTTGCACGTCTCAGCTCGTGGCGACAAAGCCCACAACTGCACACGGGAGAAAACGAGATTGACTGACGACCTGCCCTGCTTTGAGTCTCTCGTCTTTAATGTCACAGGCAGAGGTCCAGCACCCAGTGGACAAGAGGCGTGTCTCTCGACAGCAGTATGGCAAGTCTGCAAGCACCTGGGAGGCCACAGGCTCCAGCTAATCTCACTCTGTCTTCCTTGGCGCTCAACCAGTTGTGCCCTGCTGCTTTGGGAATCACAGCTGTCACAGCTGGCTAGAGCCACGATCCAGGCTCAAACCCATGATCGTACAGCTCAACCTGCACTTGGGAAAACACAACCCGTTGGACCACTCAGGCAATCTTTTCTTTGTGCTCAGTCTAGATGTTTCGGACTTTTTGATGGTAACCTTAATATACTGTAGAAACTGAGCTATAAATATATATATTTGTAAGACCTTCAGATAGAAAAAAAATGTCATCCAATTGACTTCTATCCAAAGACTACTGTTGTCTCTACAACAACTTAGGTTATTAAAGGTTTTTCAGTGGACCCCAGGCATGTATTGTAACTCTATAGAGGAAAGACATGATACACATGACTTTATATTTATATGACTTTACAATTGCTCAGGTAAGAGTTTAATACACACCCAAATTAATAATGTCCTCTATAAATGCCAAGATGTGCACTACCAATAAGCCTTCAACTTCTTAGGCGAGTAAGCCTGATAAAAAAAGCTTCCTGTTGAATAAAGTTTCGAGTGCTTTTTCAGAAACTCAGAAGTGTGACTAATAATGCAAGAAGCAAAAAGGTGTCACGCCACGCCGCCGGAGGAATCGGCATTCCACCTCGCATTCCTGCACTGTTCCCAATTAGCCCAATTACCCCTACCTATTTAGTGCTGCTTCAAAGTCGGCACTGTGCTCAGTATTAGGGTTCTTTCTGGTTAGAGCGACCTCGATTTTCTTCATTACTTACTACATGTTTTTT